AGAGGGTCCTGGGAACGGGGAAGGTGAGGCATGAGGGAGTGATGGGGAAGGAAAAGGAGAGAGAGAAGGGCAGGGAGCATGGCTGGTGATGAGCCAGGGTGTCCGGGAGGCTGAAACAGGAAGCCTGCTCTGGTAGGACGCTGCTAGGCAGGGAACCGTATGGAGGGCAAGATTCACAAATTCATTGGTTCATTCATCTTTTCATTCATCCAATAAGGCAAAGAATGTCAATATTAAGAGCTATTTGCTAGTCAAGGTATATGCAACATGCTAAGAAAATGTAAATGAGGGGGCAAACAACGATTTAAGGGGTTGCAGGGGTGGAGGAGTTGAGGGGGGCAGGTAAATTTCAGTGAAGATATTTAGGCCAAGCCATGAAGCAAGCCTAGAAGCCAGCCCCCAAGTCCTCCCAACCCTGTGGCCCATCTCTTGTTGATGGGCCACATCCGGTCTGGCTGATGCCCTCCAAATCCCGGTCTGGCTGATGCCCTCACTGGGTCTGAGTCTTAGATCCCCCACCTACTTGCTGTGTGACCTCAGGTAAGAGATCTAACCTCTCTGAGCCTCAGTCTTCTCAGCTGTAAGGGAGGGACAACACCAACTTGGAGGGCTGTCTTGTGATTCAAATAGGGCAATGAGAGGCACTCTGCAAGGTGCTTGGCACCTGCATAGAACATGCTCGAAACAATGTCCTGTTGATATGGTCAGTATCAGCGGCGGCAGCAGCTTCATTTCCCCACCTCTGGGCCTCTGTCTCTGGGCAGGAGAGGAAAGCCGAGGCTGTTCCCAGCATCTCCCATCCCTGGCCCCCGGCCTTTGGGGAAACATGAGAAGCAGAGCTGGAGGATCTAATGTGCACCCCCCATGCCCCTTAATCCTTCCTGAACTTGGTGGGGGGGGGGGGCGGCACCGCGGTAACACCTGCGCAGCTCTGACATCTCCCGCCTCTGGGCAGAGAAAGCAATTTCAGAAATGACATGTTGCCGACAAGCAGAAATCAGCTTCTGAATTAAACTGTGTTGGCGTCAGGTGACCCCAAGCTTGGAGGGCTGGCTGCATGAAGACAGCTGAGATTAGGGCCTGTCAGCCACTGGAGGGGCTGTGCGGGAAGGGGTGCGGGGACCCGGGGGCTACTGTTGGCCGCCCTGGACTTGTTCAGACGGGGGCAGGAATTTGGACTCTGGGTCAGGTTCTCCTGCGACTCTCACCGGCCTCCACCTCTCACCTGTCCACTGCACGGTGGGGGCGGGGCGGGGTGGGGAGAGTCCGGTCGGGCTCCCCTGGGCCCGCTCCAGCGTAAACACATTAATGGGACCGAGAGAGCCGGGGAGGAATGTGGGCCTCACAGCCCCTGGGGACTAGGGGAGGGACGGGTTGGGGGGGTGCAGAGAGGGGATCAGACACCCCAGAGGCAGTCAGCCTCAGCTCTGCAGGTATGCAAGGAGGAGCGAGAGGGAGAGGGAAGCAGGAGGACTGAGGGAGAGGGAGGGGACCCCAGCAACCACACTGAACCCTCGAAATTTCCCTGGTGCCTTGGTCTCTGCACCAGCCGTGCCCCGCCCTGCACTTGGGACAAGAGGCACGAAGGGGTTGTTTAATGGCCAGCCCTGTCATGTACTGTAGGGCTTTGGGCATGGCAGGGAACCTCTCTGAACCTCTGTCTCCTTATCTGTGCAATGGGGATCATGTTTGTATATATGCCAGGGGTTGCAGTGGGAACTAAAGTTGATGACCTGGGGAAGGGCGCCGGACTTCCAGTGCCATCAGGCATCTCTCACAGAGCTTAGCACCTAGTGACCTCTTCCCTTGCCTGTCTCCTTGTCCATGACCTCCCTGAAGCCAGCGTCTCAGTCTTGTTACCGGGGCATCCCAGCGCATGCCTGGCACACGGGTTTGCTGAGCAAGTGGCTATAGGAAGGGATCCCAGATGAGAGACAGAACAAAGTAAAAGTGGAGAATGAATGGGAAGGGCAGGAGGTAGGCAGAGGACTCCACCCCACTGCTCTCATTCCGGAATGTCCCCTACTCCAATGACCGCTCCTGCCTCTGGGCCTTTACAACCTTTCTCCTGGAGCAGGATTTAGGCGGAGTATGCTTGCTGGCTAGACAGTGACTCTAACTCCCTGACCGGAAATCAGACTTGCAGAATCATTCCCTGTGTCTTTAGGAGTCAGTGGGGCAGAGTAATTGACCTTGGGCCCTTCTCCAGAGCTCTGGGACTTGGGGTCACCATGGTCATACTCCACAGAGCTAGGAGCCCAGCAAAAAATGGAACACAGCCCGCAGGGGTGGAGGGCCTCAGGGAGCAGCGAAGACGGATTTGTCAGCACTACACAGCCTCTAAGGTGGGAGGCCATCTCATGATTTCCAAGAGAGGAAATCTCTGTCTCCCACCCCACCCCTGCTGCCCTACAGTTATCTCCCACCTGCTACAGGAACTCCACTGGGAGAGGGCACCGCTCCTCACCCCCTGTTCGGAGCTGAGTCATCAGAGAAGAAACCCAGAAATCTGAGAAGATTCCAGAGGGCAGTGGGTGAGGGCTCAAACAGGAGAAGGGCCTGTGTTTGAATCCTGCTTCTGCCACTCACTCAGCCAATGACTGAAGCTCCCTAGATCTCAGTTCCCTCATCTCTAAAATGGGGGTAACCATTCTTGGGGCATCTGGGTGGCTCAGTCGGTTACGCATCTGGCTTCAGCTCAGGGTCCTGGGATCGAGCCCCATGTCGGTCTCCCTGATCAGTGGGGAGTCTTTTTCTCCCCCTCCCTCTGCCCCTCCCCCTGCTCGTGCTCTGTCCCTCTCTCTCAAATAAATAAATAGAATCTTAAAAAAAAATGAGGGTAACAACTCTTACCCTGCAAGGTGGATTGTGAAGATTAAAAAGAATACCGGGGAGGGTAAGGAAGAAGGAAAAGCTCTTTATAGCAGAATGCCAACTACAAAATAGGCAAGGAATGATGGAATTCGAAAATCGCCATTTGCAATCAGTTTCGGTAAGGACATCAGTGGATGCTGGAAGTTTTGGGTAAAATGTTTGTTGAGCAACAAGATATTCCCACAGTCTCAAAACATCACCTCGCAAATGAATCATGAATCACCAGGGGAAAAGGGCCACTTCATATCAGAGAGATCTGGTGGAAACCACCTGAGCCAAGTGATGAGATTCAACATCACCAATCATGTTGACAAGCCAACATCCCACGGCTCCTCACAGCCCACACAGAGAGGGACACCCATCACCCAAGGAGAATTCTTACCAAAATGTTGAACCAGAATCTAGTCATAAGGAAACAATCAGAAACATCTCAATGGAGAGACATTCTACAAGACAGCTGCCCTGAACGCTTTAAAATATCAATGGCATGAAAACAAAGGCAGGGAGACTGTTCTAGATCACAGGGGGCTGGAGAGGCATGACCACAACATGCAAGGCCTGATTCTCAAGTGGATTCTGGATCACACACACACACACACACACACACACACAAAATTAGAAAGGACAGGGGCGCCTGGGTGGCTCAGTTGGTTAAGCGACTGCCTTCGGCTCAGGTCATGATCCTGGAGTCCCTGGATTGAGTCACGCATCGGGCTCCCTGCTCCGCGGGGAGCCTGCTTCTCCCTCTGCCTCTGTCTCTCTGTCTCTGTCTCTGTCTCTCATGAATAAATAAATAAAATCTTTAAAAAAAAAATTAGAAAGGACAATTTTGAAGGACAACTGCAGAAGTTTGAATAGGGAATGTGTGGTAGATAATATTGTGTCTTGGATATGATGATGGCCTTGTGGTTCTTTTGGAGAATGTTCTTGTTCTTCGGAGACGTGTAATAAAGTATTTAAATGTCCTGGTGTCTGCAATGTTCTCACAAATGGTTCAACAAATATATGTATGTATAGAGAGGAAGTGAGAAACAGTACACGTGGCTCCATGTCTTTAAAAGGGGAGATACCGTAGGTGAAGTGCCCGCCCCATGGTTGTCTCAGCAAGCACTGATCCCCAGGAAGAAATCCCCTCACCGAGCAGCTGAGGGGTGAAGAGGCCTGAAGGCCTGTTTGAGAACAGGTTTATGGGCAGGAGCTGATGGAGGGAGGCCAAAGGTGGTGTAGAGTAGAAAGAATATAGGGTTTGGAGGCAAAGACCTGGGTTCTGGGCTGTGTGACCTTCAGTGGGTCTCTTAATCATTTTTGTGCCTCAGTTTCCCTGTCTATAGAAAGGGAAGAAGGGTGCCTGCCTTGGGAAGCTCAAGTGAGAAAACAGGTACGAATTCCCTCGGAACACTGGAGCCTGCTGTATGGATGCTTCCGTCACCGCTCGGAACCAGCCGGTCCCCGGGTCCCGAGGAACGCTGAGCAGAAGGAGCACGTTAGGACGGGCACAGTTGGACTGGACCGCCCTCTGCCTCCCTCTCTGGGGATCTGGTGCCAGGGCAGGGCTGGCAGCAGGGCTGGAGAGCTGGGCAGGGCAGCTGCCAAGCCCTCTCTGCTGCCTTCTGCTCAGTAAGGGGCCCGCTCCCCCCGTCAGACCTCCGGGGCAGTGGCGGTGAAGGGCATGCCCTTCCCGAAGCATACTGGGAAGGCAGTATGGCCAGAGAAAGGAACTTGGGGGCTCGCCCATAAAAGGGCCCAAACCACTGGGCAGCTGTGCCTCTCATTTCTCCTACTGGACCCTAAGTCCCTGAAGGCTCCTGCTTTGCATTATCTTGCCCCCCACCCCAACCTGCATTGCTGGCCATGGGATGAGGACGCTAGAAATACTGATCAAGTCCAGGAGCGGACCCAGCCTCCAGCCTGGTCTGACTTAGCACTTACCCTTGGCTGGGTTACTTCCTTCCTCTAGGCCTCAGTTTACCCAGAATCCATAAAAGGGGGTGATCCGGGGACGCCTGGGTGGCTCAGTTGGTTAAGCCTCTGCCTTCAGCTCAGGTCATGATCTCAGGGTCCTGGTTGATCGGGCTCCCTGCTCAGGAGGGAGGCTGCTTCTCCCTCTGCCTGCCACTCCCCCCTGCTTGTGCTCTCTCTCTCTCTCTCTCTGATAAATAAATAAATAAATAAAATCTTTAAAAAAAAAAGGGGGGGGGTGATCCATTCCTCCCCTACCTCTATCTGAGGGGAGGCAGCAGTCCAGAGAGGGAACAAGCCACACTTTGAAGGCCAGCAGATCTGTGCTCAAATCCTGACATCCCTGCTTCCTAGGGGCATTCAAGAGCCTTCACTGGTTGTGTCCAATTGTGTTATTGCAATAAATCAAGACAAAGTGGGTACAAATATCTGACATGGAGTTTATTGGTGTATTGTCTCTCTCCCCCACTAGAGTGTCAGCCCCACGAGACAGGGACTTGGTTTCGCTCGCTGCTACACCCCAGCGCCCAGAGAGGTGCCTGGCGCTCAGTCGGGGCTCCCTACGTAATCGCTGATTGAAGGGATGGACGTAACAGGTGCTCAGTATATGATAGCTCCCATTAGAATTCCACAACGCGCTGAGACAAAAAACACTTGAAGTTCATTGGTTGTTGAGAGAGGAAACTCTGGAACGCAAGAAATAATCTTTGGGCTGGCATGGGTCTGCCTGTGGGCCTGTCGGCCCGGCCGTGAAGGACACAGGGACACTGGGCTTATCTGGACAGGGGGAGGGACACGATGCGCCCACGAGAGCCAGGCGGGAACACCCATGAGCGAGGTGGACTGAGGTGGGGGGTACTTGGCAAACTGGGGACCCCCATGTGGCCTGTCTAATAGGGTTCCCTCTCTGTAGCTGACTATGGCCGGGTGAGAAAGTACGCCCCGTTGGCCAGCCCGATTCATTGCACAAGGCAAGCCAGAAATCCAATGGAAAACAATTCGTTAAGAGAAAACCACAAATGAGAGCAAACGAAACCCATCTGTGGGCCGGGAGGGGCCCTGTGGTGTCGCCCACTCCTCTCAAGCAGCCCCTGGGGCCCTTTCTCTCCAGGCCTCTCAGGCAGTCCCAGCCCCTGAGACACAGGACTCTGCTTGGAGAAGTGCTGACGTGCTGTCCAGATCCGAAAGGCCGGGGTCACACACAGCAGAAGGAGCCACTTCCCTGGGCTCTTGGGCTCAACGTGTCTCCAGGCTTGGGGGCTCCTAGGCTCAGGGCAAGTCAGCTCGCACAGTGCCTGGCCCATGCAGTTTCAGAAAATACTCCTTGAGCGGACCTCCTTAGTGTGACTTGGGGCACAGCCCTCCATCTCTGGGCCGCATCTGTAAACCCCGCACAGTATGAGCCCCCCACCACACACACAATTCAGGGATAACGGGGGAAATCAAGCGGGATTAAAGGAACAGGAGTGTTTCTGAAGACCGAAAGTGCTTTACAAACGCAAAGTGTGGCCATCTTTCTCGTCATCATTATTATGAGCAAGACAGTTTCGCCAGAGCAGAAGAGGGGCCTGGGACCCAGAACAGAGAATTTACAAAACCTTCACAAGGAAGATCCAGACCAAGCCCAGTAGGGCTCATGCATGGAGGGGATGCGTTCTCACCAGCGCCAAGACAGGCTGCTTGCAGGACCTACGAGACAGCCCAGCCCCCTGGGGAAGAGCGCAGGGGCGGCCCCGCTCCGGCCAAGCCAGGCGGTGTCTCCTCAGACAGGACGGCTTCTGATGGCATACACAACCCCCGCAGGTGCTGCCCATGAAATATAGAAACTATATAAATAGTATACATAAATATTTTCTCATATATCTTAGCTATATAAATTATTCTCTTTTGCCCTAAAAACTACGTATGTGAGGTAGACAAAAAAATACCCTGTGAGCGTTTCCCTTAAAGCTGTAGAATGAGGGGCCCCAGCAGGGCTGAGGTGGACCTTTGGGGACACCCGGAAGAGAAAGGGTAGAGAAAGGAAGGAGAAGGGGGAGCTAGACGGGGAGGACCCCCCAGGCCGAGGGGCCCTCAGAGTCTGCCTTTATCCTCCTCCAACCCCAGCCAGCAGGGGAGTTGGGGTGCAGATGATATGTTGGTGGATCAGACTCCTTCTTCCTGCCAGGGAGGCCTCTGGCGCCTTATAACGAGGGCTAGGGCAAGGTGGAGGCAGAGTTGGGGTCTCAGAGGAACAAGATGGATTGGGCTGGCCAAGAAACAGTCTCCATACAGTAGGGGGAGTGGAAGAAACTAGAAAACCAGCCCGCTCTCCTTTTTGCTCTTCCTGACAAGAGGTGGGCCGGCTGCCTGGGCCAGCAAGGTCAGTCCAGCGAGGGGGGTCTCAGGTAAGTTTGGCTTCTCCTCAGAACTTCTGCAGCCAGAGATCCTTCCAGCATCTCACAAGCTGCCCTGACTCACCAAAGCCAGGGAAGCTCCTCACCCTTGGATGTCCCGGGGAGCCCGGGACTCCTTCCTGGGCTCGAACTGGTGGTTTCTGAGCATACGGCTGATTCTGAAGTTTCCGTTCAGCAGAGGGTCAGCAACTCTGGGTTCAGGGAGAAAGGAAGCTGACAGAGGGCGCGGCAGGGCTGGCAAAGCGGCCAAGGGCTTCCCGAAGGAGGTCACTCACTTCCTCCTGGCTGGCATTCAGCTTCTAGCAGAGTGAGCCCTGCAAGGTCCTGGTTCTGAACCAGAGTGTGTGCTGCTAAATGGGAACCCTCCAGCCTGGCAGGTCCAAGGGGTGTGCATGCATGTGTGTGTGTATGTACCAGCTACTCTCTCCTCCTCCCACACAGGGGCCTTGGCAGGTAGCCCCTTAAATGTCCACAGGATCAGAGGAAATTAGCAGAGTCACTTCTATTCCTCAGGTATGAGCCAAAGTGGGGGCCCTCCGTGAGTGAAGGGGGCCCCCAAGGAGGCAGGCTTAGCAAAGCCTGTAACGTCAGGGCAAAACCTTAATTAAATGAGTAGCTAGAAGAGCGGAATTGTAACCGGAGCCAGAACTCTTCTGGGTCGCGAACGTCAGCTGCGCTGGGGCCTCATGGAACGGGTGACTGCAGCCACGGGCAGTTGACCAAACAGGGCCTAAGGGGAAGCTGAGAAGCCGAGCTCCCTGCATCCCTGCCTCCAACCAAAGGCTGTCACCCTCGCCTGGGCTGGGACTAAAGGTTCCCCAGCCGGAAAACAGGGGAGGGGTCGCTGTCGCTCTGTACAGCCCTGGTTCTCTATCTGCGCGCCAGCCGGGGACAGCGAGACCCCACCAGCCTCGCATCCGCTGGGGCTCTTACAGAGCAGGGCTGGCTGGGCGTGCATGACTCAGCTCTCAAGGCAAGAAGGAGGCCTCAGTGCCTATTTTAAAAGCCAAATCAAGGACACAGGGCTCCAGGGCATGTATCTGACTTGGGTCCACTCGAGCCCAGCAAGCTTTCCTTTCTGCAAACAAACAGCCCCTACCTCCCGGCCTCTCCCCCAACCTCTAGCACAGCAAAGCCAACCGGGGGTGGAGCTGCATGGCCCCCAGGGCTCACTGTGACCTGAGCCGGGCCCCCGGGCTGGACTGACCCATCCCTGCCAGGCTCCAGCCTTGGCAACCAGCTGACACTGCCTTCCCGTGCCCTGCTGGCCCGGGAGCTCACCTCCCAACATCTTGCTGGCTCTCGGCCACTCACCCGAGGAATGGAGCTAGCGGGATGTCCCCCGCCTAAGACCCGCAGTCCTGGCCTCCTCTTGGTCTCCCTTCCCCGGCCCCCCACCTCCTTTCCGACTCTGTGCTCCTGCTCCAACAAGGCTGGGGACCCTCCGTGCAGGTCCCCACGAGCCTCTCTCTGTGGAATGTGGACGGAGGGAAAGGCGGCTGAGGCCCCGGAGGGAGGAGTGCGCGTGCAGGGGCGCGGGCATCGGAGAGTGCCTGCCTGCTGTGCGTCCCTGCGGGGCGGGGGTGGGGGTGGGTGGGGAGGGGGCTCAAGGGGGCCGAGCGCCGGGGGTCCTGGCAGCGCCCCCGGGCACCCCGGGCAGCCCGCCTAGTGTTTGCAGGTGTACAGGAGCTCCTCCTGCACGCACTGCTGGCACTCCACGTAGCAGCACCACTGAACCTGGCAGTGGCAGGAGAAGGCCACCAGGCGGCTCTGGGTGTCGTAGCCCCGCCCGCAGCACAGGCTGCTGCAGCTGGCCTCCCGGGAGCACGCCCTGCCCCCCGTGCCCGGCGAGTACTTGCTGGGCCGGCAGAAACTGGGCGAGTCTTCCATGTAGACCAGGTCCCCAGGCCGCGGGGCCAGGCCCTTGGTGGGGCTGCCGGGCCGGGCAGGGGCCCACAGCTCCAGGCGGCCCAAGGCCTCGTTGGTGGCGCTGGACACCTTGACGGCTGAGTCATAGCGCAGCTTGAGCGCCTGGCCCGTCTCTCGGAAGGGGGAGAGCTGCTTCCAGCAGGTGCGCACGGCGCAGGAGCCCGACACGCCGTGGCACTTACACGTGGTCCTGAGGCCACTCTTCACTGCCTGCAGGGAGAGACAGAATGCAGCTGTGGCCGGGGCCCCCGAGCCCACGGCGCCAGCCCGCCCCCAGAGCGTAGACCCTGGCAGGGACGTGGCAGCAGGATGGGCGAGAGGCAGCAGAAGGAGGCAAACAGGACCCAAGCTAACCCACGTGCCGCCTTTGTGCAGACTAGTTCAAGGCCACCCTTCCGCCGGGCCAAGGTGCCTGCCTCGGGGAGAGCAGCGTGGGCCAGATCTCAGCCCCTGCTCCTTGCCTTGGCCCAGAGTCCTTGTGGAGGAGAAAGCTTGCACAACTGAGCACAGCAGCCCTGGTTTACACCGAGTTAGCAGCAGTGAGGACGTGGAAGTCAGTTTCCAAAAGAAGCAGAACCCCGGCCTCTCCCAGCCTCTGATCCCAATAGACCAAGAAACTTTTTACCCTCCGGCCTCCCACTAGCATGTGCCTCTGCTAAGCCCCTTCCCTTCCCTGGGCCTCCTCCGTCTTTCCGTCTGTAAAATGGAGGAAGTGGGGGTGTTGCACCAGATCAAAGCTTTCAAACTTGCTTCTGGGACGTCCAGGAAGGCCAGTCCCGGGAATGGAGACCCTTCTTCAAATATGTTTCGGCCTCATCAGGGCTCAGTCCCTAGCCTGGCTCCCACCTGCTGCCTAGCCTGCGATGGTGCCCAGGACCCTTCCCTACTTCCTGGCACCTGGTAAGGGCATGTCGGTGGAAGGAATGGGGCTCCCCGGGGACAGCTGCGCGTGTGCCGAGGGGCCTCCTACAGACCGGCTGCCTGCACCAGCACCCTGGCTGGGGCAGGGCTCTGCGCCTCTGGGGAACGTGCTCACCTTGATGCCCACGTGCGTGTTGTGAGCATCCGCCCGGGCCCTCAGGTCTTTGCTTCCTCTCTTGGGCCCCAGGAAGTTGCTCAGGAACTTGGTGCTGTACTTGAGGTTATCGCCGCACACGCCCCACTGCCAGGCCTGCCGGCTCTCCAGGCCCGGAGAGTCGTCACAGGTGCAGCGCTCCATGCGGCCGGCGCTGCAGGCCCGGGCCAGAGTGTGGGTGAGGGCGGCCGAGGACACTGCGTACAGGAAGGCCGTCTCCTTGAAACCTGGGCCAGGCACCCGAGGGATCCGGGAGGGAGGAGGAGAGTGGGCTCAGAGGCTGCCCTTTGCCCTCTGAGGGCAGAAGAGGATGATGGGGGCGCCGTGATGAGCCGGACGAGGGTCGTGTGGAGCTGAGGACATGGCTCGGGGCAGCCTCCTATCACCCGCCCCTTAGCCTCAGGCTGCAGGCTGCCGGGTAGATGGAACTTTCAGATTTACTATGGCGTATATGCCCAGATTCCTAGGGCAGCAGACAGGGGTTCCTGCCTCTTGACGAGGACACTAAGATGCCGAGAAGTGACTTGGGCACATGCTGAGGCCAAACCACTGACATTGACTCCAAGTGAATGTGTGGGCAAACTGGACCAACCCATTTCTGAGGCCCCTGATCCCCTGAAATATGCTCTGTGGGCGTCCTGGGCTTCAAGATCCCGCTTAGATGTTACTCTCTGCTCCCTACCTGTGCAGTAGACCCAGTGACAGAGTGACTGTGAGTCTCCTGCCTGACTTGTTTGGGACTGATCATCCCAATCCCCGCCAGGACCATCGCTACTCCTGTACTCTTGCTGGGGCCTGGCGCAAACCCGGCCACCCTCCGCCGCTCTCCGGGGGACCTGGGTGCTGCTAACACGGGTGGGAGAGTAGCATCAGCTCCATCCCGGACCCTCCCCCGCCGTGGAGAGCAGCTGGCCTGGAAGGGGGCCGGCTCCCCTCTCTACCGTCACTGCCTTTCTGTGAAAGCCCCTTGCTCCTTGGTGACAGAGTCACACACTGAGCTGCTTCCCCCCCCCAAGGCTGTGTGCTCTCCAAGTGTAGATGGGGTGTGGTTCAGCTCTGTGCCTCCAGCTTCCAGCACAGAGGCCGGCTCACTGCGAGCCTCACCAGACGCTTAGTGAATGAGGTGTGGAGGGATGCAGGGAGGAAGGGAGGAGAGAAGAAGGTAGGGTGTGAATGGAAGGGAAGGAGGGAATGACAGACCGACGGGTGCGATGAACAAAGTCACGGGTGAATGAGGGAACACATGAATTTGGCCCATCTCAGGTTATTTGGCCAACTATTACCTGCCTTCCATCCTTATATGTTCTTGCCCCTTGTTTTGTGCACGTGTGTGCAGGAGGCTGAGGGAGGGGACTGGGGGACCACCCATCTCATCTGTGGGCTCCTCCTCGATCCAGGAATGGGCTGTGCCTCCTCTTCTCCCGGGTCTCCCTTGCTCCTCCACTCCCCCCCAAACCAAGGGAAAGGCTGGGCCTCATTAACTCCTGGGACTCTTCTAGCAGGGGACTATGCTAGGTTCGCAAGGGCAGCATGGCCTGGGCCCAGGGGCCGGGGGGGGGGCAGGATGGCTGGCCTCCTCCCCAGCCCTCCTCTCCCCCAGGCCTCCTCCCCAGCCCTCCTCCCCCCCCCCCCAGCCCTCCTCCCTACCTCTCTTGAGCAGGCCGGTCCTCCCCTCCAGGCTGCAGTTCCAGCGCTCGTGTCGAAACTGGAATTGGCACTCGAGCAGGCTGAGGTGGGCAGCGTCCTGCAGGGTCTCGGCCAGGCCAGGCTCCCTCCGGCAGAGCTGCTTCTGCCGCCGGGACAGCTTCAGCAGGTCACACTGCTTCAGGTGGGCCCCACCCTGTGCAGGGGCCACGGCCGTGCCCAGCCCTGGGAAGGGCGTCAGGACCTCCCGCCCGGTCAGGCTAGAGGGAGTGAGAGAGGGAGACAGTGACCCTTGGGGGTCCTGATGGGGGAAGGGGGTAGGTAGGACAGGGGACAAGCAAGGGGGGAGGGGGCCCTCTTGGGGGCTTCATTTATTCCCTGCCGGGAGGCGGGCCAGCCCCATGTGGTTATGGGCCCATTTTTCAGAGTAGGAAACCCAAGTGCTTGGAACAAGCTCTCGTGCCCAAGTTTTCCAGAGGCCAATGTCTCTGCTGTTCTTACCCATTCTATTTCCCAAACTTGCCCAATCATAAAAATCACCTGGGTGCTTATTAAAAATACAGATGCCCAGGGTCCACACTGGGTCTGGAGTGCAGCCTGGGGATCTGTATTTACCACATACCTTGGGCAACGTCTATGATCGGGGATGTTTGGGAAGGACTGTGCATGGTACTGGCTGCTGTCTGGAGGGGAGAGCCACGTTCCTCAGAGCAGGGGCAGGCAGACGGGTGGAGGTGCTGGGCAAACGCTCCGCAATTTCCCTGATATCCCTCTCTCCCTCAGGTTATACGGCTGCCCAAATAATCCCATGCCCACCTAGCCTGTTTCTGCAATTCCCAGCTAGATCTTCAACCTTCTGGCCACTAAGTACCTGTTACAAAGAGATGCTTAGGGAGTACCTGGAGGGAGGGAGGGAGGGATGGAGGAAGGAAGGAAGGAAGGAAGGAAGGAAGGAAGGAAGGAAGGAAGGAAGGAAGGAAGGAAGGAAGGAAGGAAGGGTGGATGGACAGATGGACGGATGGACAGATGAACTGACAGATGGGTGGATGAATTTCCATCACACCATCCCCTCCAGACTTCCTGTTCTACTCTATCCGAAGTCCGTGGATTCTGAAGTCAGGCTGCCACTTCCTAGCCATGTCGCCTTGAAGCCTTGGTTTTCTCCTCTGGGAAGTGCAAAGGGGGATCCTTTCCACCTCCTGGGGCTGCTGGGAGGCTTATATGGAAAGTACCAACCACAGTGCCTGGGACACACTGGTTCACCTTTCTGCAGGCTGGAGTATCTCAAAATTCTTTCCTCTCGCAAGAGGCTTTATTCTTTAACCTGGCAGATCTTCCCTTTGTCCAGATAAGGAAACAAAGTTTTATGGAGAGGCGGTGACTGGCCTGAGCCATAAAGTCGATGAGCAGCAAGACAGGGAATACCATTAGAGCTCACCTTCCCTCTCCGCAGAAGCTCTCTGAGAGGATTCTCCTCTTTCCTATCCTGTCCCCTGGCGGCCCTCAGCATGGGTAGAATATGCGCCATTCCAGGAGAGGCCCACCCCCCATGGAGCCGAGGACATGGCTCTCGTGTTTGGAGCGACCTGACCCAGCCTGGACATCTGGCTGGATGCCACACTGCCCCAGGGAGAGTGTGGGTTCTGGCCAGGCCCCAGGTGCCCCCAGAAAGTGCCCATAGATTCTAAATCCATCAGATGCAGCCAACCCAGTGTGGAGCATATCTCTGAAACCTCTGAGCAGAGACAGATGCTATCAGGCTCCTCCTGGCCCAGCCTGGCCCTAGGCTCCCCTGCTAGACAGGGTGAGGGCAGGGACCTGTTAATCATTAATCTGGGGGCAAATGGGTAAATTTCCGGTCCACCAGGTCTACACCCAAACCCCTCCCTGCAGCCTGGCAGGAAACCCTTAGAGCTTGACCCTTGGCAGGTCCAGATGTCAGCTCTAGCTGAGGGGGCCCCACCCTGACTGGCTTCCAGTATGAAGGGGACAAAGGGAGCAGGCACCAGTTAGTCCCTCAGATGGTCTCCTCCCCACAGCAGGTGCTGGTGTGAGGGAAAACTCTGCTCACACTGTTCCTACCGTTCAGAAATTGGGACCACCCTTGTAGCAGCTGATGGACAGATGAGAGAACACGCAGGGAGTGAGGGCAATTTTGACCAGAGGGGCTGCACATCCTTCAAGGCCTGTCTCAGATGCCATTCCAAGAACAATAGCTATTATTATTATACCATTACAGCTTTATATATATACCTTTATACATATACCATATATATATATATACGATATATACCAAAGTATATAACATTATACTTTCTGTTACATAATTTCGATCATCTATCAGTTTTTGAGTCCTTATTACTAAGACCTTTAAATTGCAGACACCTGTTGAGTTGGCTACCCACTGGTTCTTCCCATCTACATGGTTACCACCATGTGGCTGACCATTTTATACCACATGACCCTGCCGCTCCGACCTAGCGTTTGGACCAATGAGGATCACGTGACTCAGGCTGGGCCAATCAGTCCTTTCTCTGGGAATTTGGAATTTGAATTAAGTTGCGCTTACAGTTGCTTTCTCTCTCCGTCTTTCTTTGGGTGATTGGGCCTGTAACTCTGGAGATAAAAAGGAGAAGCTGGTCCAAAGAGAGAGCAAAACAATGAACCGAATGCATAGAGAGAAGCAGAGGTGAGAGTGGTGGGAGAATTTGGGGAGCTTTTCAGCCCCAGCCCCAGAGTCTTCCTGTGGGCAGCCGTGTTCTTACCTTCGACACTCCTATCTATAGTAGGGCGTTAAGGCTTGGAGTTGGTCGTCTAACCAAGGGTGCTGTCACTGATCATGAGCTTCTGACAGCTGTGAAGGACCAGCAGGCCCTAGCCTGCAGCTGTGAGCCAGGGCCAGCAAAGACCCTCTCTCCCATCCATAGGCCCCCCCTTTTTTTTAATTTCGTGTAATAGACCCTGTGATTGATGGCCCCAGAAAAAGTCCAGTATAAAGTCGGTTAATTTTATTAGCAGTAATGACACTTAGTAGCGATTAATGGTCAGGAAAGGCAGCCAACCGCATAGAGGCCTCAGGCCACACTGGGCCCTGGTCTGTCCGAGAAGACTAGCCTGGCACTGCCTTAGGAGCCCTCTCAGGACCTACGAAGACAGCTGGGAGATCTTCCAGGACCCAGTTTCCCTTTTCCTTATTTCCTATGTTGTGGTTGGGATCACATTTCCTTTGAAGAAACAGTGCCATGACATCAACTTTAGAAAACACCGTATTTCCTCAGGTGCTGTTGGTGAGCTATCGTCCGCATGCCCATCCCGTGGCATCTGCTAGGGAAGCCTTCTTCCCGGACCTCAGAAGAATTCTAGGCATTGCAGGCTCCCGTCCATTTCGGGGTCTGTGGGCATGATCCCCTCCCCTTGAAGAAACCACATTCCCTGGCACCCCAGGGCTGAGAACCCCACCCACCCCTGCCTCTCTGCAGAATCTTAATCGCCCACATGTTAGTTGGGCCCCATGGGGGTAAAATGTACACCTGGGAAGATCAAGTGAGCTTCGTCAGTCGTATGAATCCAGACAAAATTTGGAGTTTTCATAAAGATGCTGCCCTGTGGTCTGGTCAGATGCTACCAACCAAATAAGTAGCCAGTGTTCTGAGCTCAAGAGCAGAGGATGAACAACTTGTGAAGTTGTTAGCTGCTCTTCTGGGCTGTGGGACGAGAGCTCCTCCAGACTTCTGCCCGGCTCAAGTGCTCCCGAGCCCTGTGGGACCAGGCCACCCCCCAAAAGGTTTTGGTGCAGCTGGTCTCCCCCATTTCTGCTTCCAGTCGCCACCCCCCCACCCAGGCTGACTTCCAGTCCCTCTTCTCCTGCGAAGAAAGCAACAATCCCATGTGACCAGCTCCATTCTCCTCCCTTCTTTGCCTCCAGCCTGAGACCCTCTGCTCTCTGTACCCTCAGCCCTTAGTTTAATAATAAGACCAGAAACCCCCACCCCTATACAACAAGATGTCTCTGGCTTTGACTCCGGAGCATCCCCAGCTGTTCCCTGGGCCACCTTGTCTCTTCCCAGGGTGGGAAAAGTCAAGGTGTCCCCTCAGGACTTCACCTCACATATACCCCTACCCCCAGATCTCCTCTGCCCGCTGCTGGCCCTTCCTCCCCTGGCCTCCTTTCACTCCCCAACGCTCACCCCATCCACAGTTTTGGCTAAAGCAGGTCCACCTGGGATGACCCTGAAGGAAGGAAAAGAGGATTCTCCCAGGATTTGGAGAAAGTGTCCCAGGAGGCTGCTTTTGTTTACCTTCAACAGGACCCCAGTCACCGCCAAGCCCCAGAGAGGAAATGGAGCTCACCTTGGAATAATCACTCACCACCTGCTGGAGTAGGGAACCCAAGGACCCCAGGCCCCCAAGCTGTTCTGGCCTGGGTAGTCTGGTCCCAGGTCTGCCCTCGCTCACTGGCGACCTTGGGAAGGTCCACTCTCCCGCTGAGCTCATCCCATCTAACAAATACACATTGGCTAGTGGGAGAGCATGACGGGACCAGGCTGCCTGTGTTCAAATCCTGCCTCCACCTCTTACCAGTTGTGTCACCTTGGGCAAAGCTCTTCACCTCCCTGTGCCTCACCTATAAAATGCAGATCACCACAGTACCCACCTCGCGGGGCTTTGGGGAGGATTAAATGAGTTAACATTTGCACAGCTCTTAGAACAGTGCCTGACACATAGTAAGCTCCAGAGAAGTGTCATTCTTGAGCACTCACTATGTGCCAGGCTCCGTGCTGGCCACGGGGACGTGCTCCTGCCCCTGAGGAGCTCCAGTCTAGAAGGAACTTGGTAGGATTCAGTAGTGCTCCAGATTCTCCCAAGGCCCTAAGAAGCAGAAGAAAGCTTTGAACCAGCCCAGCTCCCGGTGGAACAACCAGGAGGTGCTCAGGGATCAGAACTCTTAGCTCCATCTGGGTGAGAACCTGACCTTGGCCAGGCCCATCCTACCTGTAGTAAGGGGCCTGGGGGGTGGGGAGGAGGCAGGAGGAAGGTCCTAGGGAGGCTCCCTGGCTAGTCGGGGAAGACCAGGCAGGTATAGTGCATTTCCCATCACTTGGGGGTGCCCCAGGCGCTGTTCTCCCCCTGACACACACACCCACCCTTGTTTCTGCTTGAGAGGGTCTGACGGTTCCAGAGGAGGTCACCCCCAGGATGTGGGTGAGGGAGTGGGTGGGTGGTGTAGGACAAGGCTGGCGGTTTCCAGGGCACCAGGCAATGCCAGCCTGTCTAGACCCTTAGCTGGAGGGGCCAGGAGCTGTGCCTGGCACCAGGGACCTTGCCAACTGTGGGCAGCTGCCTGGGAACCAGGAAAGCCTTGCCCTGCCCGGAGCATTGGCCTTGGCCCTGCAAAACCCCATTAGATGCTCCCGATAACAGGCTTCCGCTGCAGGGCCATTTGCATGGTAAGTGTTCCCTTTGTGCTTTCATCTCAAACATCTCAGCCCACCTCACAGCCCTCACTAAATCCCCCTACACACCCACCCACACCCACCCACCCACGCCCCACCCCCACCCGGTGCTCTCCACCACCCATCTCTTCCCAGCAGGGAGAGTTGCTGAGGGTGATGCCTGGCGGGGGAAGAGAGGGCCTTTGGCTCCAACAGTCCCTCTGGTGGGGGGGGGGTACCCTCAACACCCA